TAGTATTAGACATCATCAACACTGATAACGGCTACACAGGTAAACCAGCTTACCAAAAAAGTTTTTTGAATTCTATAATCTTTATTAAAAATAAACAAAAACTAACCTTGTCTCTATCACAGGGGATGCAGAAATAGTAAATCAAATAAATGAACAGCTTTGCTGCCCAAAATTGTTGATGAGGCAGAATTAAATTGTTTAGCTTTTGATTCATTTTAGCATGTAGAACACATTTCTCTTCTTCAGAATTACAAACAATAGGAATCTTGGATTATCTTGGTGTTTCTTTTGACTGTACAGGGGTTGGCAAACTGTGGCTCACAAGCCGCATGCGGCTCTTTGGGTACGTACATGAGGCTCTGAAGTAAAATTGAAAATGAAAATAAAACTATCATAGTTTCATTTATAACATTTTTAAAGGATATTATTCACATAATGGTGATTTCATTTGTTTATGTCTCTCAAATAATTTTTAAATTGTTGTGAGGGACAGGATTGGCTCTTCTGTCTCAAAAGTTTGTCGTCCCCTGGTATAGTATGTGTTGATATAGATTCTAAATCACTTACCTATATTGTAACTGATGCCCTTTTCTACAGCTAATTAATTGGAAAACAATGCATACATACAATTCAAAAGACTCACATTTTTAAAAAAATTCTATTTATTATGAATTATATTTGTTTGCTTTCATTTAAAAGTGAACTCGGTGTGAATTTATAATTTTTAAAATTTTTATTCATAATTATACAATTCCAAATTCATGTTCTAATGTTTTACTGTTAGCCTAATAATAACTTGAATTTATGAAACAAAGTATCTAATAATTGATTACATAATTAATTTTTTTTGGTAATAGAAATTTTGCTAATTTTGTTGTGAATTTGTTTTCCCTTGTCACTAAAACACAGCATAGGAAAAATAGACATCATTTTTGTTTTCAGTTTTTCAAATATATATTTTGACATATTTTCTTTTGCCTGATACCAAGTACACATTTGTCAAATTATCCCAAAGTCTAGGAAAAAGTGATGTTACCTAAGAGAGTGAGGGATAACTGGTTCAATGCTGATCGAAATCTCTCATCTGTGGACCAGAAATTTGTGCCAAAAGACAATCATGCTAACTTTGTGCTACCCAAACTAACAAATTTAAAAATATCTTTTAGTTATGCAATGCGATGATTTATTTGTTCTTCTTTGTTACAACCAATTAACATGTAAAGGATAAAACAATTCACTGAGTTTTTTTCAAATCAAAACTTATTGACATTACTCTTTGCAAACTGAAGGAAAGCACAGAGAGTTTAATGACTTGCAGGAAGGCGTGAGATAATAGCACCTTTTATGTCAAAAAACAAATTTTAAAAAAATAGATATTAAATACACCTGGGTTCTACAACATGGCTTGTACTATATATGGCATATGCTCAACAAGTATTTGTTGACTAAATGAATGAATGGGAATTGGAAATTAATTTTTATCTCTTTCAAAATTTAGAAATACAAAGATGGAGTTAAATTTCTACCATAATTATCAGAATTAGCTTTATTTTCCTGTACTTTATAGGTTTTTACCATAACATATTACTACATTAATTTATACTATTCTCACTTGACGTGAATTTTAAATCAAAGTTGTTAGCTACCTTCTGATATGTTAAACCTCAGAGGCTGTGAGAGCATGAAGGAGGAAAAGAAAGTTTCAGAGAATTTTCAAGCTCCAACAGTTTTTCTCTCCTCACAGCCACACAGTGTTTTTCACCAATAGGGTATCACTTTTGATAATATTGGAATTTCTCCTTAGAAGAAATACATAGGGCTGTTGATAAGAAGAGAACATGACATACCGAAAAGTAAAATTTTGCTATGTTTTCATTTGTTTAAAATGAACATATGTTTATATTTGTTTAAAATCTTAGGTAAAGTTCATGTGGGTGTTAAGAGCTGTAAGTGGGTAAATAAAATAAGTACTGTAATTTTTCAAAGCATCACTGAATGCCAAGAATCTGATATTATCATTCCAGTTTTACAGTGACTAGTTAGTTAAAGGGTATTAGCATCCTGTTATTTGCAAAGGAATTTACAAGGAAACCTAAAACAATTGGAAAAGACAATGGAAAAATGTTGTGCAGATTTCTAGATGAATCAACTATGGTAAAAAAGTAATTGAATTAGATTGTCTGGTGAGCTGAAGCTAAATAAAAATGCTGAGACGAGAGATCCAAGCTTCCATTTCTTTGTTCTCTTTTATTATTTGGCCACAGAGTATTTTTCTCCAAGGATTTTTTTTTGTTGGATTTTTTAATTTGATACATCTGATATCAAGAACCATAGGAGCTGAAGAGATGTAGGTTAAAAGAATTGGGGTAACAGAATGGCTTTGCTTATCTACAATGTATTTTAGTAAAAGGTGCTACATGTTAGGATAATTTTTATGGGCCACTGCATTGCACAACCTTAGAGAGTGCCATTTGATGGAATCCTCTGTGACTGGTGCCCCCCAGAGTTGCGCAGTGGTACTGAGGATATATGTACAATCCGTGCTGATTTTGGCTTCGGGAATATTTTCCATGTGTTGTTGTGGTAAGAAAAATATTTTCTAATTTTTCATGGCACTTATGTTTTTTTAACATTCACCACAGTCTATAAACAATGTCCGTACGCCTGATTTTAAACAGCTTTTCCACAGGGCTTTAGCCAGAAATAAAAGTAGGAACTTTATAGGTCATTGGAAAGATACTGACCTGTGCAACAAATTTAAAGTCTGAAAACACAGAGGTTTTCAAATGGAAGCAGGAAGCTGGCAACGTAAGAAGATGGTAGCATATTGAGCTGGAATCAGATTTCTTTACCGCATCAAGATTCTTCTTAGAGTTCTCCTCAGCTCTTTTTAGTTAAGTGGAGATTCTATATAGAGAATTTTTTTTTGAACTTTTTAAAAACTTTTTTCTAACTCATCATACAGGACAAATTTGCATAAGGTGGATAGTAGACATAACCTCAGCTTTCGTATCTTCCACTTTAAGTTACAACAGTTTAATTGAATTCATGTGAAAATGTACATATATTCATAATGGAGTCAGGAGACACTATTATTTTAAACATGAAAAACATGTTTTTGATGCAGAATAAGAGAAGGTGCTTGGAAGAATTTACCAACCAAAAAGAATATTCTGAGAAAAATAGAAAAGAAGGCCCAGATATGTTAACAGAGCAAACAGTGTATCTATATATATCTATATCTATATTTAATCATCAAAAATTGCTATTGGAAAACAAGATAATTCCTCTCTTTTTTTTTCTAATTTCATCTTTAACATTTGAGCCTTCCTTAAATTTTCCTTCTTCCATAAAGTGTCTCTCCCTCTGCATTCTGAAATCTCTGAATCCCTACAGACTGTGAATCTGTAGCATGCAGGAATTAAGTCCTCTGTCATGACCAGATCTCCTGCACTAATGTCCTGACTCCACCCCTTACACGCCAGGTAACTGTGGGCAAGTTGCTTCATCTCTGTTTACATTGATTTGCTCATTTGAGAAATATAGATAATCACAGTACCTGTGTCACATGGCTATTCTCAGTATTCAAATAGGAAATACTTGTAAGACATATCTAAGCACTCAGTTAGTGGTAACAGTTTTTTGAAATGTGCCACATGTTGCAGCATTTTCTCATTTGTGGTAATGATTTACCTTAATCACTTTCTAGGGCATGATATACAAACATTCACAAAACATATGCTGTGGTATTTTTCTGTGCTTGTGTTTTATATATCTGGTTTCTGTTTGTTTGCTTATTTGGTGTTCCCATGTAAGTTCCCTGGGTCAGGACCTACATCATTTCCTTTTTTATTTTTATTTTTAATAGACTTTATTTTTCAGTAGAGTTTTAGGTTCACAGTAAAATTGAATGGAAAGAAGAATTGCCATATACTCCGGTCCCCACATAGGCATAACCTCCCCCATTACCCTGATCCCCCACCAGACTGGGACATTTGTTACAATGGGTGAACTTACATTGACACGTCATTATCACCCAGACTCCGTAGTTTACAGCAGGGTTCACTCTTGGTGTTGTACATTCTATGGGTTTCGACAAATTTATAATGACATGCATTCACCATTATAGTACCACAGAGAGTATTTTCACTCTGCCATAAAAATCTTCTATGCTCTGCCTGTTCGCCCCTCTCTCCCTCAATCCCCTGACAACCACTGTCTCTATAGTTGTGTCTTTTATGGGACGCCATCGAGTTGGAATCCTACAGTATGTAGCCTTTTCAGACTGGTTTCTTTCCCTTGTTAATGTGCATATACATTTCCTCCATGTCTTCTGTAGCTTGATAGCTCATTTGTTTTCAGTGTTGAATAATATTCCATCGTTTGAATGAACCCCAGTTTATGTATCCATTCACCTACATCTTGGTTGCTTCCAAGTTCTGGCAATTCTGAATAAAACTGCTATAAACATCCGTGTGCAGGTTTTTGTGTGGACATATCATACACATTTTTATTTCCTACAGTCTGTTGTACAAAGGTGGGAATTTTTTGCACTTACAATTCTAGGTCTTAGGTCTGAAAGGACTTAGAAATAATGTATTAAATACAAGGAAACTGAAGACGGATAGACATGGTGCTCACTGTCTAACACTGCTCACATAGTTAAATGTACCTCTTGCTATGAAATTCTTACCTAAATAATGAGGAAAATCTAAAATATTTTGAAAACATTACTAAAGGATTGATGCAGTAAGAATAAGGACTGAGAATTATTGCACCAAATGATATAATCGATATAATCAATGTTTTTCTTTAAAAAGAATATATTTAATAAGTGATAGCCATGATTTTTTTCCTCATTGTTTTATAACTGCTTAATTATAACTTCATTATAACTTTATGGTTTTTCTCCTAAATTAGGCATGTGCGTTTTCAATTATCTTTCGTTAGTGGGATTTTAGAATCCACTTTGGACTGACTGAGCTTTGCTATTTTAACAGGCTGTGGTGCGGAGTTATCTGGGGCCACTGGCTCCTTCAGCAGCCCTGGGTACCCTAACCAGTATCCCCCCAACAAAGAGTGTATCTGGTACATTCGCACAGCCCCCGGGAGTAGCATTCAGCTCACCATCCATGACTTTGAAGTGGAGTATCACGAAAGCTGCAAGTTTGACGTCCTGGAGGTAAGAATTTAGATTGCTTGTCAGCACATTCCAAAATTTGGGGTAGAACATGCAAATCACTCTGCAAAAATCCCTCAGTCGTTTCCCATGTTCAGAGCAGCATTCTCTTCTTAGACATTTTGATTAGTTTCAGCCCTTCATGGATGACATTTGCAGACAAATGGACTGATGTCTCAGTTTGGGTTTCTCTTCAAGCAGTGCCTGAAGGACTTGGTGGGAGGCCGTTTAACCAGGAGGTGATGCGGGAAGCAGGTGTGAGAGAGGGTGCAGGAGGAGTAGCCAATGAGCAGAGCCCCTGTGGGCAACTTGGGCTTAATCCTGCTGGGACCCTCTGTGGGGCTGTGAGGACTGTGCCCCAGGGTCATCCCTCTCAGGACTCTGGGCTGAGGCATTGGTCCCCTAGCTCCGGTCCCTACTGATGGAGGATTGTGCTGGGGATTGCTAACTGCACACACTTCCAGTCCGAGGAAGCTCCCTTGGGCAAGGCAGTGGGGAGGCAGAGTGTAGACAAGAGCTGGACGCTGGGGCGGGATGTGGCAGTAAGCAGAGGAATTGCCCACCAAGCTGCAGCTGCAACCCGAGGGATCCACATGGTGCCAGGCACAAAGCACATCTGCTGCAGAAGACTTTTACCAGAACGGTCTCTTAGTGTGGGGATTTGAAGAGAAGACTATTACAACACTACTGCAAAGGGTTGATCTCAGGTAATTAAGATAGCCTTTTTCGGTGGCAACCGAAATTCACACTCACAATATGAAGCAGAGATAACACTCCAATGTGGAATGTTCAAACGGTCCCTCTTGCTAGCAAGGATGTTTCACAGTTGCTTAAAAGCCTTTGACACTTACAAAGGGCTGGCCAATGACTTTTCCACAGTCATGTGAAATGTTCATATTCCAAAGGCCATGTGATTGTGCCCACTTGGCAAATGTAAATGGGTTCATTGTGCTTTGGGTTGTGTCGCACCCATTACTTGAGAAAGCAAGGCCTGGGGCTGTTCCCTGCAAGCAGCCTTGGGGACAGACAGAAGGACAAAACAGGGGCTCCAGGCACCAGTACTCAAGCAGGGTCCTGTGGCTTCACAGAAAGGGCTGTGACAAGAGGCTGGAGTCGGCTTGGGGCTCATTTTTATTAGGATAAGGTGGACTCCCATGTTCCATCAAAATCAGGGTTTGGAGGAATATTTTGAGGCCCTTCAATATTTTGGGAGAGCTTTTTTCTTAAGGCTGAAGTGAGTAACCCCCTTACTTTTTATTCCAAATCCTTAGTTGACCTCTCTGCAATTGCCCCAGTCAGGTGGAAAGTGCTGTAATAAATTTGCGCTAATGATGATAAAAGGATTTTTTCCCGTCCTTCATGCCATAGATGCTGATACCATATTAGCAAGAGGTTTCAAAACCTGTTACCTCTGATGAGTGTATGGCCTGGAAACATCACTGACTTTCTTGACCTATCTGTTCTCGCCATGCATATTATCCTTTCCTGTTCTGCTCAGCACAGCCAAATAGGACCTCAGTGTCACCAGGTATTGGGCTTACCTGGATTTCACCAAATTTAAGCAGGAGCCAATATTTTTCTCTCTCAAAAATCCCTGTCCCAAAAGTAGCCAGCTGCATTAAAGCAACAGCCGTTGGGTTATTCATAACCCTGGAATGCTGACTTGATTGTAGCAATAAATGGAGCCAACAGAGCAGAAAGAAATGTTCAAAACAGATTAAAATCATAGGCTTTGAAATGTTTTATATCCTAAGAATCTGCGAAAAACACATTTTTTAATCTCTGATCATCAGACGGATTCTCTTTCCCCCACAGTTGAGTCACATGCTGTAGTCGAATGAGCCACACCCTGAAATTCTTTCCATCTTTTTCCCCTTGTGTTGAGTCATGCGCTCACTGTTGGTTTTATTTGTGGAGAGCCAAAAGGGCCATGCTATTGTGTTGGTCCTGGAAACACTGGCTGATTTTCCTTCAGTCTCAGAAAAAAGAGCCTGCACCGGCATAAAACAGAAAAGGAAATCCACTCCTCGGTGCAATAAACGGAGACAATCACTTGGTGTGGTCAGTTACCTCCCTCTGATCTCTTGGCGATGGTCTTTCTGCCAGTCCTGGCCCAGTAAGAGGGGAAGCAGAAGTGGCAGTGTTTATTCTGGAGGCTTCTAGGCCCAGCCGACTCACACCCATTATGCTTGTGATCTCAAGGGGACCTGTGAGCAAGGAAAACAAAGACTATTTTGCTGACGTGCAAGTTTTCTTTGTTAGAACTAAACCCTCATGCCCGATGTTCTCTCCAAATACGGGCTGCTTTCTGGGCTTGGATGATTAGGACCACATGGAGCCAGGGGGTAGGGAAACCTACAAAATGGGAAAGGACTGTAAACAAGAAGCGGTCTTGTTTTCTTGCATTTGCATATGTGTACGTGTGAAGGGCCACACAGGGCTCTTGCTAGAGTCCCGCTTTGGATGGGACTTAGGGGGCCACACAAACAGAGCTCCTCCTAATGAAAATAAGCAGGGAGCCCTTCAGTTCGCTTCATTCCTTTGCAATTACAGGCCTTGCGCTCAGCCCTCTGTGGAACAGCAGCTTCATTCATTTTGGCCTTTCCTGCATGGCTGGGGAAATTAATCAGACAAAGAAATCATTATAGATTCGAATCACATACTCCTCCCCAAAAGTAAGCTGCTTGTTCTCATTCACTCTCCCCAGAGAACACTTGAGTGTTTCCCCTATCAGTCAGCAGCTGCCCCGAGGGTGGGCAAGGGTCAGGGGGGTCTGAGGAATGGGGGGAAAGTAACCTGAGTTGAGAAAGCGGCACAGATGGGAGAGGTAGGAGGGCACTATGCACAAATCCCCCTGAGGGCTGCTTTCCTGCTTCTGACCCCAAGTATAGAATTATCAGCATGTGCGTGTGGGGGATGGGGAAGGACCCAGATCCCAATATGCCTGAGAACTGCTGCCCCAAATGGTCTCTCTTCTACAGATTTAAGTCTGGCAAGACCTGAAGCCAGGGGGTCAGTATCTTCTGTTTGATCCTTATTTTCCCAACATTTCCCACCCTCAACCCTCCAGCACATCCGCTGGATAAGCCGAGCCCACTGGTGATTAAGAAACCTGTGTGTGAAGTGTCCTGGAGGCCCAGCCTGGCTGGGCTAGACTTGCCTGGGAGAGGCTGGATGTGAGACCAAGAGGGCCCTTGTTGAGAGGAATGTGTGTGTCCCTAGGGTATTGGATCCCAGTCAGATAGACATTTGCGAATGGGAGGAGCCTAGGAGATCTGAGGACAAGCTAGAAGGATCTGGAGGGAATCACTGGGGCAGAGTGCAGGGCAATCCCTCAGCGGAAGTCCGATGCCCCCGGTCATGTTCCTGCACGTGGTCATGCTGGGAGAGGAACGGAAGGGTCTGCAGGAGTCCCTTCTTGAGGATACCACAGAACACATTGACAGAGGTTATATTTTCACTCCCTCTGAAGAAGCAAAAATATTAAGTGCCTCATCATATAAAATATTCAGATTGCAAAGTGGAAAATCCTGAAACTATTACCGGAAGGTCAGTAGCCTTCAACGAACTTGATCTTCACAAACAAAATGGCTTTATGCTAAACCTATTCCTATGTGCTTAGAAGAGTTAGAAACTCAGACTCGATGCTGCATTCTCTGCAATGCCTCTGCCAAAGAAATCAGGAAACCCCATGAAGAGATGAAAAAGAAGGAGAGGGGATATACAGAAGATTCTGGAATAATCTATTCAGTTCAGCTCTACAATTCTGGCTGATGGAACAAGCAAGTATTTCGTGGATGGTTGAACTTGTGTGTTCCAGGGCAGAGGGAGTGCCTTTGCAAATCCAGCTTAAGTTTATAGTTCATCCCCACCCAGGGAGGCTGAGATTTCAGTCTCTAAGGATAATAAAGTCCAAGAGCTAGTGGTAAAATTGAGTCTGGGGAGGGGCTGTAATTGCTTAAATATATCTCTTAATGTAAGTCCATTTTTCTATGTCCCATCTCAGATCTATGGAGGCCCCGACTTCCACTCTCCCAGAATAGCCCAGTTATGTGTCCAGAGATCATCTGAGAATCCCATGCAGGTCTCCAGCACTGGGAATGAGCTAGCAATCCGATTTCAGACCGACAGCCTCATAAATGGGAGAGGCTTCAATATCTCATGGCAAGCGGTCCCCGGAGGTGAGTGAACCCACGAGGAATCTCAAAGCACTGAAGCCAAGCCCTCATTAACTTCCGTGAAATGATTGGCAAGAGGTATGAAAGCTGCACCTTGACAGCTCTGTGACTTCCCAAATGGCAAATACCGCTTTGGCATGTGCTGTTCCCTAAAGCATGTGATAGAGTTTAACTTCTGAAGCGTTACCATGTGTGTGAAAGCAAGGAACGTATGCAAATCCATGGTAAGAGCAGAAGCGGAGCCATGGGTTAGTCTTCCCTCCTCTCCAAGGACGTGTGCCTGTTCGCAAGCCTCGAACTGCTGGGCATCAGCAAAGTGGTAAATGACTTCATGCCACAGTGTAGACCTTTGGGTCCTTGGCAAATGCCAAAGCTGTAAATGTTAAGTTTGTGAATTCCAAGGAATTGCTACTATGTGTTATATAGTGACTTTCTGCCCAAGAACTTAGGCAGTCTAAATAAATTACTTGCAGACTGTTTAATAAAAATTAATGCACAAAATATTTTAGCAGATGTTACTCTGTACAACTACTTATGATAGCTGCATTTATCAAATACATACTATGTGCCAGGAACCTTGCTAACTGTTCTATAAGAACTACCTTATTTCGTCCTCACATCCACCCTGTGAGGGAAGTTCATTTCATGCACTCATCATACTAACAAGGAAATCAAAGCTTAGAGAAGTTAGTGACTTCTAGAAAATGCCTAAGCAGACGTATAACCCAAGCTGGCCCTTTAGCCCTACTTCTGCCAGTCTAAGGGACTGAAGTAAGTATATTACATCTTTCCTAAAGTCAATGATGTATGAATTCAATGAGAATTATAAGTGTGTCTTATTTAGATTACCCCAAATGATTATCAGTTACTAGAAATCAATGCTGAATTTTTCCATTATTGGTTTATATCAACATCAATCCAAGAAATGATGGGTCATAGAGGTAGACATTGAGAGGCATTTGATAACATCATAAGGATAGAAAAAATAAACTGAATAACCTTACCAGGTCCAGCATATTAAAATTAAAAAGGCAGATATTAAACTATTTATAAAAGCATATGCTACTGAATTATCAAAATTATTGGAAGGAGATGTGTTATTCTTACAGTATGCTATATTTTTCGAGAACCATGAAGAGGCATTTTATGGCTTTGTGAAAACATGATTTCATTTGCACTTATTTTTCAGTGTTTTTATTTTAAAATTTTTTATTTTATTTCTTTATCTCCCCAATATTTTAAAAATAACTTCTGGCATCAGTATTTAAAGTATTTGAAGTGTTTTCTTAGCTGTCCTTCTTTGTTTTGTTGGGATGAATGAATTATTGTGAATATTCATGTCTTTAAAATGTTTACACTACGTAAAGCTGGTGGTCAAACAAAGTAGCGTCTTGTCCTGTGCTACCAGGTTATGGGGTCAAGTGTTATACATCAGGGATTCTTCTCATTATTGAATTGGTTCCCCATCTACAGGTTGTGGTGGGATTTTCCAGGCTCCCAGTGGAGAGATTCATTCCCCGAATTACCCGAGTCCTTATCGGAGTAACACTGATTGTTCCTGGGTCATTCAAGTCGAAAGACATCACCGTGTTCTCTTGAACTTCACTGACTTTGACCTTGAAGCTCAGGACTCTTGTATTGTGGTAAGTAACACAAATTTCAAGTATTGTTCAGAGTCAAAACTGGGTCAAAACATTGCTATATGAGCTTATTTAGTAACTATGTTAGTTATGGATGTTTTCAACATCAAATCACAGGAAACCCAACTATTGGCAACTTAAAATATAAAGACTTTTCTTTTTTTTTTTTTTTTTACCTAAATGCAAATCAGGAGGTAGATAATCTCAGGGTTTGTTTAGCAACTCAATTTCTGCTCTATCATTCTTNCTTTGTATTTCAAAAGCATCAATCTGTTTGATGCAGGAGTTACTAATAGGTGCGTGGCTGACTGAATGATTTTTTTTTTTTTTTTTTTTTTTTTTACCTAAATGCAAATCAGGAGGTAGATAATCTCAGGGTTTGTTTAGCAACTCAATTTCTGCTCTATCATTCTTAGTGTGTTGACATTTCACTTTGTATTTGTTACCTCATGGTCAAAAAATGGCTGCAGAGCTCTGAACACACTGTATGAGTTCAAATCTGGGTAAAGGAAGAGGAATAGTGTTAGTTGTTTCTATTTTGTATATACATATTTTAATCACAGAAGCCTGCTTACATATCATTGGCTAGAATTGGCTGCAAGAGAGATTAGGAAAGTATAGTGGAATGGATTTATCATAACTACTTTAAATCAATTATTATTATGCCTTTGGTGGGTCTCACAGAGTTCTACATTTCTTGAGATCAGGATATCTCAATATGCTATTTGAACAAATTAGTGTCTGATAGGACAGAATATATGGGGATATGGGGGTGAAGAAGAAGGGATATGGCTATTAGATGGTTAGATGACAAAAAAGTTTCTGTTACTCACAACTTGAATACATCCTCACCTGTAACTAAAGCTATATGCTTAATGTAAAAGTGAATGTGGTTGTATTTTGGGATTTTCTTTTTGGTTTGAATTTGATTTCTTTGGTTATCTGATTTTTTTTAACAAAAGGTCTTCCATCTTTCATTAGTATTTTGAAACATTTCATTCAGATATAAACCAAATATGAAACACTTCATTCAAACACAAATCCCAACTGGCTAGCTTTCAAATTTAACTTAAGAAAACTCAAACGTTGTTTCATGTTTTTCGAAGTAGCCCAGTCGTAATGGTATAATTTCAAGTATTATTTTACAAGATTAAATCATTAATGTGCTAAAAAGTTCAGTTGAATTATGACTATGTATTCATCTTCTAAATGAGTCTTTGGAGTCTAAATTAGCAAAGCATTATACAAACTTAAGGTGTAGGATATCTGCCTTCCGTAATGGTAACTCAGACCAACTCTGCTGACAAAGCCAATTTAAAAATTGGGATGATATTTTAAAAATCTGCCTAAGTACAACACCAATCTCACAGGATACTGTGAAATTTCTGAGTTAATATTGGCAAGATTTGAGCCTAGTATTTAGGACTGTTTTTGCCCACAGGGCATTTGCTGATCCAGACCATTAGTTAGCAGCACTTCTGAGAGCCCCCTCGGGCAAAAAGGAGCAAAGTTTGAGTCCAAGTCCCAAGTAGAATGGCGGTCCTGTCAACTATCTTGAATCCTAAGTAAAATAAGAGTAAAACAGCCTTCACAGAGACCGCATCCCCGCGTGGGTCACCCCCAGATCTGAAGCCCTGGAATAATGAGAGCAACCCTGTAGTGCTAATGCACTCAGGCTTTGGCCATCCAGCAAAAGCAATTTCAAATCTTCTTCTAAGGGATATAAAGTCACCTTACACCTTATTATTACCAATAAATTTTCATATGCAATAGCAAGGGCCTTATCAAAGATATTCATGTACAGTAGGAGACAATATAGAATAAGTGAGATACAACATTAATAACAGACAATGGAAACAAACTTACTAATAGGGCAGATGCTAAAATTACCAGGCATAGCTTGGTAATCAACTATGGTTACTAAGCTTATGGAGGGAAAAGTAAATAAAAACTTAAACCTTTCAGCAAGGACTGCAAACTATGAAAATTGATATCAGGGCCTGCCAAGCAGTGTGTTGGTTAAGAGCTGGCTTGGGACGCCAGCTCTGAGCAGCAGGGCCCTGATTCAGATCCCATATGAGGGCCAGTGACACTGCCCTCTACAGCTAAGATGGTGAACAACAGCTCGACCTGGAGCTGGGCTGCCATGAGTCGCTGGTGACGGCGTAGGCTGCAGTGGGCTGCCATGAGCTACCATGAGTGGCTGGCAGCTGGCGTGAGCTGACAAGAGCCACCTCACCCAGGAAGAGCGCAATGATCACAATACCAACATGGGCCAGTGAAGCGACGTCCTCCACAACTAGACTGAAGAACAAAAGGACAGCAACTTGTCTGTTCCCTTTCCATGATTTTCAATGCTGTTCTCCCAAATTCCCCAATAAAATCTTTAAAAACAAAGTGATGTCAAAGATGAAAAAGAACTAACTGAAAATTTTAGAACTGGATAAATATATAGCTGAAATTAAATTCTCAGTGGAAAGTTTTTTTTTATTTATTTTTATTTTATTATTATTTTTTGCTTATGAGACAAACTGGACAGACATGCAGAGAGAAAGTGTGAACTGGAAGATAAGTCAGAAGAATCTATCTGGGGAAAAGCCTGGATTAGCAAAAAGATAAAAAATACAAAAGAGAGGTTAAGACACATAGAGAACAGATATAAAAGATAAAAAGCTATACATTTAATGGTAATCCGACAGGGAAAAGAGAGCTAAATGAAACAGAAGCAATAGTTGAGGACCTACTGACTAAAACTTTCTGAAAACTGATGAAAGACATCAGTTTATAAAAACAAGAATCCCAAAGAACCCAAACAGCCAAGTAGGATAAATAGAAAGACATACTTATCTTAAAAAAGCTAAAGATAAAGAAAAAAAAATGTGATAATCAGCCAGCGGAGTGGGTGGGTAGGAGAACAGATTACATTTTAGGAAGTGGCCAACTGAATGTTAACTTTTCAATAGTGATAATTGGAAGCAAAAATGACAGTGGGATGATATTTTCAGTTTGAAGAAAAAAAAATAACCACCAACCAGGAACTCTGTAGTCTCCTAAAAGAGATTTTTAAAATGAAGATGAAATAAAGCATTGAAGCAGAAGAGGGGCCTTCAGGAGACATTTGAATGGGCCAGAGACAAATTATCATCATCATGTGTTGCCTGTGGTGGGCATTTCTTTATTGCTGGCTCCCTCCTCCTATGTGGTGCCAGGTACAGTTTCTTCTCTTTGTTAAAGTCTATACCCCATAGAATTCAGCATACAAAGAGGTGTGTGAGCAATACAAAGGCACACCCAGTGTGGCTGCATTAGTTCCCTCCTGTGGTCATGAGTAGGATTGTCCACCTATCTGAGATATAAATGCACAGCTGGGTATTCTATGAAGTACTGCCGTATCTCAGCATGCAGCTGGGCTTGCCTTAAACTGTAGCGAGAGAGCACAGATAGGAGGAAGTGAAACCTCAAATACGATCTGGTCATAGGCATGGGGATAGGAAAATCAACCCAAAGACAGGTGCTGGGACTAGTCCCATCTGGCAGATAAGGTCACATCCAAAATGTAATAGTATAAACAAGTTGGCGGACTCGGGGACTCCCGTGTGAAGCAGCTGGAGCGTTGCCACCAGTGGGCAGGTGGTGTATTCATTCAGAAGCAGATGTCACTAAGCGCTTGAGCAACACATTGATATGAAAAGTGAGACACCACCATGCCATGGTTAGGCTCAGCTCCGGTAGAGCTGAGTCTCTGGATTCTGCCATTTTCTAGCTGTTTTGCCTGGGAGCAAGTTAATCTTTCAGCTTCAGCTTCCTTAACTGTGAAATGGGGGTAGTAAGAGAACTTGTGTCCTATAGGTTGTTGGGATAGTTGAGATGACGTACGTGACGTGCCTGTCCCATACAAAGTCCTCAATTCGTGCTCGCCCAAATTATAATGATGCTGATGGTGAGTGCCTTCAGAGGCGTGTTCAAGGAGCACTGGAAGAGGAAGGTGGTGTGAAACCAGGAAGGGCTGCCGCCTTAGGGCCCGTGCTTTCCACCTGTGATCCTGGGCCTTAAGGTCTTCGGTAAAAGAGCCTACTTATGAATCTTTCTCATAGCATGGAGCCTAGCCTTCAGTGGACTCAGGACTCAATAAACTGTAATAGTAATCATGAGAAAACGGGGGTGATTCATTTGGGTCTGGAAGCCCGGAAAGGTTTCACACTGAAGATGATATTTAAGTGGCAGGATTTCACTAGGAGACAGGTGGTGGTGAGGCCAGGAGAGCAGGCTTTAGGGAAGGAATGGGGGAAATTGTGCACTGAGGTGTGAGCATGCACTGACATTTGGGAATAGGAAAAGAGGGTGTTATGGCTGGAGTGTGCTATGTGTTGGAGAACATGTGGAGACCAAGGGTTCATAGAAGACATCCAGCTTGCACAAACTCTTTTATATTCTGTGAAGCATTTGAAATTATCCTGAAGATAGTATGAGGTTGATGAAATTTTTCTGTAAGACAGAGGAGTCATATATTCAAAACCATATTTTACAGTGATAACAGGCAGTTGTTATAACACGGTTGGCAGAGAAAGAGAAAGATGGTAGAAAGGCTGTTTGGGAAGCAGTAGAAAAACCTTGGGCAGTGGCCTTGGGGATGGAGAGAAAGTCCATTGGAAAACTCTTAGGGTGGTGTAGTCAGCAAAACTTAAAAGAGGCTGATTGCATGCTGGAGGGTGGGCTGGGTGATAGAGATGGAGAAGTTAAGATTGTTCTCTTGAGGAATGGGTGAGTCATGATGCCATTAACTAAGCAGACTATTGAGTGTGAAAACTTAAGTTTAAAGGTCTACATTATGTCCCTTCCAGAGTTCAACGCATGAGTTCAGTGTTCCAGGTGGGGTTTGAGCTAGACATACCATTTGATGATAATTTCTGTGTACTTGGATGGTTGCTAATGTCACAGAAGTAGGTGTGGTCTCTTATAGGAGTATTGTGTAAAGAGAAAGGGGCCAAGTAAATTTTTTGAGA